TATCCCGATACCCCCCACCACGACATACCCATCCCGACCACCTTAACACACGAGTAAAAGGTACCCTGGATTTGGCAGGGATCGCCTAGTACTGCATGGATTAGGGCGACTTGGAGACCACACATGGTGGACATCCGCCATGTAGGCAGACGGTTCACGACCATAGTAAAGTAGGGGAGAGGACGGACAATTATCATGGAACGCATGGGGACGGGGAGGTATCACGTCCAAGTTTAGGTTTTCAACTAGCAGTTTAAGCTAGGAGACTGATGAACTGAGTATATCATGAGTTGTCTGTTCCTCAACTGCTTGTTCCAAACAGTGTATAAAATACCATCGCAAGAGGGACCTGCGAGTCCACATTGTCTATGGGGCCTGCGAGCCCGCACTGCTACCCAACCTTACAATGTCGCTGATTTACTCTATGCCCTCACTAAGTATGGACCTGCGAGTCCAAATGAAGTAGGACTGCCTCGATTTGAAAAATGAAAATAAAAATCATATTTACAAAAAAAAAAAAAAATGTACAAACCATATAATCAGTTTTCACAAAAGAATTAAAGGGACACTCCACTGCCCAAATACAAATACATAATCAAATCACTATTTAGTATATATACATCCAATGAAAACACATTTGCATTTAATTATGCATTTTTTTCCTTGAGGATATATGAAAAACAGTTTGCCAAAGCTGCAGATTTCTTGTCTGCAGCCTTGGCAAGCCCTCCCCTTCTTCCCTAGCCCAGACTTTCTATGGCTTTCCAATCACAGACTTCCCAATGCAGCTCAACGAGAAGTCTTTGAAATGCAGGTGCGCTGGGCATTTTCCTGCCTCATGAGATTAGTTCCACTGAACTAACCAAACCAGAAATTAACAGGTCCGATTGTCTGATTGACAACCAGGAGGGGTGTAACCAGGTTAATTTCTAAAATCTTAAAAACTGCACTTTTTGTAAAAAAAAATAAAAAAAAATAGAGTACACTTTTCACACATAAAGCACGCAGCAGGCTAAAGGTTTTTAGGTGTGTGGACTGTTAAGAGAACACAGAGGATATTCTTTTGCCTACAGTGAATAGTTAACCTTGAGCAGTTCACTTTGCAATGGTGAAGTCATGTAACTGAACAATGTGGGATAATTACTGTATTACATTTTGTCAAAACAAGAAGTGCTATGATAGAATTTGTATAATGACACCGCACCCAAATTATGCTGGAAGTTAACATCGATCCTTTTGTAACATGGATATATATCTATTCTCTAGTTGTGACTCTGATTAACCCTACTTATAATGGGCTCTTACCCATAGAGAGATAGAATATGATGACAGATAAGAACCATTCGGCCCATCTAGTCTGCCTAATTTTCTAAATACTTTCATTAGTCCCTGGCCTTATCTTATAGTTAGGATAGCCTTATGCCTATCCCACGCATGCTTAAACTCCATCACTGTTTTAACCTCTACCACTTCAACTGGAAGGCTCTTCCAGGCATCCACTACTCTCTTAGTAAAGTAATACTTCCTGAAATTATTTCTAAATCTTTGCCTCTCTAATTTAAAGGACCACTATAGTGCCAGGAAAACAAACTTGTATAATCCCGAATAATCTAAATTTTATTAAAGACAGGAGGCAAATATTTGCTTAGCTTTCTTTACTGAAACTCCCAGCAACAAAGAAACCATTAATGGTAAGTAAAAAGTTTAACCAATCAGAATGTATAACAGAGTATGTCTAGTCATCAGGCTCCTCTCAACTCCTCTTTCTTGATGTAGCCGACAGGCGTAGAGTCAATCATGTAAACGAAAACAGTAGATCGATGAGTATATCCTAACGTAGTCAACCATGTAAACCGGTGTTAATAAGTGAAGATAATTGTGTGCGAAGGTAACGAAGAGTCTTCACATTAGGAAAAAGAGAAAGAAATTGTGAAAGTATGGTCTCTTGGGTAAGAGAATCAAAACCTCTTAACTAACATTAAGGCCATGTATTCAAAAGCAGTGTGTATCAAGTACTCTGACAAATCTTAAGACTATTAATTAAAGAATGAGTACAACTATAAATGCATTATGTAAAGAATAAACCGAAACCCCTAGAAGATTATGAAAATTAATTGGTAACAAAATATTGAGGTGTTGCAAAATACCTACCTAGCAGGATGGCGAGAGTATAACTGTCTAAAATAAAAGGTGTGAAAGTTAGATTCCCCAGACCAATCCGCGAAGGCTAAAATCTCCCAGCCGTAAATGCAGAAGAGGCGGCTGCCAGAATGAGCACCAAAAGATGAGTCAATGCCGGCTAGGACCAGAAGCCACTTGATCCTACAAGCAATCGTTGGACATGACACTGGCTTGTGAGGACGCACATAAGACACCAGTAGGGGGCCCGTTTGTGTTCTAAGGGAAGTAGTGCAAAAGATGTCATGTCGGACGCAACAAGCTACACATAGCGTGGGTTTATCCTGGAAATAAGTATAGCTCACTGTAGACGAAATGGTTTTAGTGTGTCATGTAATGGAGAAGTTTACTCCCTCGAGAGTAAAGTCAATGGCATGAACGTCAAATGCTCTGATGTTCGAAACTCTCCGAAAGTATACCAAACAGAGAAGCAGTGCCAATTTGGCTGACAGGTGACGGAGAGAGAGTGCTTCATTAGAATGCCATGCCTCTAAAAAGGATAGCACAATAGCAACATGTCTTGCGAGGGGGATGCCCCGCAAAAGTCTACATATGGAAGGATGTTTACTAACTGTCAAATAGCCCAGATTTACCCTGCTCGAAAAGGGAGGACAGAAAGTTCATGATGTTAATTAAAGAAGCTGAAAAGGGATCGATGTCCCTCTCCATACACCAGCTACTCCAACGTCACCATGCTGAGAGGTAAGACCGTCTTGTTTCTGGGGCCCATGAATCCCATAGGAGACCTCGTGCAGTAGCCAAAAGGCCAGAGACGTTCCAGGATCCCCTGAAATGGTGGAGGTGGCCTTGAAGTGCTAGTGGATGGCAGTTCCCTGAAGGATCCTTGAGGAGATCGTAGAAGGTGGGCAGAAGTAGGGGATAGTCCCCTGACTTTTTTAAGGAGATAGGGGAACCATAGTTGGGTTCGCCACAGCAGGGTCACCAGTGTTATTGTGACGCCCTGTGTTTTGAGATATTGTATCGTGTGTGGGATCATGGAGAAAGAGGGGAAGGCATATGCTCCTGGACATTGGCCATGATTGGAGGAAAGCATCCACTGCCAGGCACGTTGGGTCTGGAAGCCAGCTGAAAAATGCATCCGTCTAACAGTTCAGGCGAGACGCAAACAGGTCCAGGTTAAATGGTTCTCTCACGAGCTGGAGACGGTGAAATATTTGTGGGTCCAGTTGCCAATCGCTGGAGTCCCTCCACTGACGGGAAAACCAATCTGTGACGAGGTTTTCAGAGCCTGGTAGATATTCTGCACAAAAGGAGATGTTCCTGTCCAGGCAGAATTGATACAGTTCCTTAGTCAGATCCGATAGCATCTTTGATCGGAAGCCATCTAGGCGGTTTATGTAGTGTACTGCTGACATATTGTCCATTCTCAGGATAAGGCAGCAATTGTAGGCCTCCTTGACAATGAACCAGCAATTAGTTTGAGGTAATTGATGTGTAGTGCTTGTTCTGATGGGCACCAGAGGCCTCCGGTAAACCCTTCTGAGCAGGTGGCATCCCATCCGAGGAGGCTGGCATTCGATTCCAGAATGAAATCGGGTTGTAGACCGAAGATAGCCCTTCCGTTCCAGGCTTCCATATGTTGAAGCCACCAGTTGAGTTCCAGTCGGACTTCGACTGTGAGAAAAATCTGTCGTAAGATGTTGAGCGATGTAAGTAACGTGTTTTCAAACGTTGCATTACTCGATAATGTAGTGGAGGTGGGAATATTGCCTGGATTGAGGCGGAGAGTAATCCAATTATGCGGGCTAAATCCCTGAGATGGAGATATGGGGAGACTAACAATCTCCAGATGTCCTTTTTGATGGTTTTTATTTTTGTAGCAGGGAGTTGCAGAACTGCCTGAACAGAATCTATCCGAAATCCCAGAAACTGTACCGTCTGAGACGGGGTTAGAGATGATTTTTAAATACAGTTTTTTTTTTCCAATTTATATTTTTGTTAGCGTTTATGCACACAATATAATGCTTTTCCAATATCTATGGAAATCATTATCAAAAAAACACATACAGTGTTTGTTGGAGCATATACATAAACTTTCTATTCAGATAAAAGCGAGTAGAGACAAAACAAGAAAATAAACATATTGAACATTTTCCATATGTAATTAATGCGTATACTAGTGAGGAAGACAGAAAATGTGTTGTACATTTCTAATGCGGCTGTGGTCATCAGGGATCAGGCAGCCTGCAGAGGCCTTGAGGTTAGCCTATGTATGAGACAGCCTTTTGGTGTATTTCAAGCTACCGTCTCCTGGGTCAATAGCTTCTGTTAGTGATGTCTCTGGTTTTGCCTTCTCTCTCACCAGAGGGGCCTTCATGCCCAAGGCACTAAAGAACTTGATGGAATGGTCGTGTAGTTGGCTCCTGGCGACTGGAGCCAACTTTTTCTTTTCCGCTAGAACTGAGAACGGAAGGTCGCTGTATAGCGTTGCCGAGTGTCCTTCAAAGTGCACAGTGCCCATGTCTCTGGAGCGATTCATTATGGCGGATCTTTCCGCTATGTCTCTTGTGACAGCAATTAAGTCTCTGGCTGCTCCTATAGGAGCGGTGGCGGGTTCGCAGACTCGGAACACAACAAGAGGAATATATCAGGTTTCCCTATGATGCTCATAGAAGCGACCAGCCATTGCACAAATTGGAGTAAATCCCCTTACAATATTTCTTCAGGGATTCCCCTTATACAGATATTTCAGCGCCTGTATTGTGTCTCCAGGAGTACCACAGCTTGATTTAGCTGTTGAACCTGGCCTTTGAGCTCTTCCAGCTGACCCTTAGTCTATAGTGTCCTGCATTCGGGTGTCGCTAGAGAGCTCCCTCTCTTCTACTACCTGCACTCCTGTTAACTTCACCAATCTCCGTCCGAATCTGCGGGAGATCACTTTTCCACACTTGCCTCAGATCTGTTAGTAGCCTCTTGATGTCGCCCTTCTTGGAGGGAGAAGAGTCATCATCCGACTCTGAGTAATGGTATACAGCACTCTGTGGTGAGTCACCAGGCTTCTCTTCACCAGTTGATTCATCCGAGATCTCTGGCTTGCACAGGCCCTCGGAAGCCATCTTGGAGGTTAAGGTCGGAACAGGCCTCTCGAAGGATAGCCTGATATCAACGCCAACTGAATTGAAGGAAGGTGCGATGCTTTGGTGTTACTGGAACCGTGAGGTATGCATCCTTGAGGTTGAAACAGGAGAGCCAATCTCCCTCGCAGAGAAGGTCTTGTAATTGATGGATGCCTGCCATCTTGAAATGTCTGTATTTGATGAACTTGTTCAATTCTCTTAAGCCCTTAAGGACCAAACTTCTGGAATAAAAGGGAATCATGACATGTCATGTGTCCTTAACCCCTTAAGGACACATGACATGTGTGACATGTCATAATTCCCTTTTATTCCAGACGTTTGGTCCTTAAGGGGTTAAGGGGTTGGCTAACTGGTCAGAATTCTCACGACTTTTTCCTGACTAGAAACATTTTGCTCATGAAACCTCGTGGGCTGAGGGATCGTTCGATAGCACCTTTGGTGATTTGTTTGTTGAGTTCGTCTTATAGGGTAATGTCGTCTATTTGTGACATACTGAACGGGGTAGGTGAGAAGATTTGAACTAGGTCCTCTATAAATTCTAGGTGGAAAACGGACACTGTCTGAACGATCCACGGATCGTGTGTGAGTTGAGACCACTGTTGGGAAAAATGGATTAATCAGCATGCGATAGGTACATGAGAAAAATGAGAATCCATTACCTGTAGGAGTGCAGCCGCGGAGGGAAACAGATCCACGCCCTCTAATAGATCCACGAGAGGGATCTCTCGTGTTTGTGGTGGAAACGGGTATTGCCCGAGTTCCAGTGATTTTATGGTCGAGGCCTGTAGCCTGTGAAGGCAGCTCTGCCACCAGCACGACCTCTGTAGTGACTGGCTCTCCCAGAAGAAGGCTGGGTCCTAAATACCTTGCGTAGAGAAGATTGCGCTTTGGTAAGCGTTGTAAACACAGACGTGTTTACTCAGTTCTTTAATAAATTTGTCTCCAAATAGCATACCTTGTGCCTCAGGGCCAAGCTCTTTAGTGTCTAATTCGACAAGCTTTGAATCAATTTTGTATAAGAAGGCTTTCCGTCTTTCAGTTGATATGGCGACATTGGTGTTGCCTAGTAGGCATAGTGCCCTCTGTGCCCATTCTCACACCATATATGCATCGAAAGTGTAATCTGTAATAAAACAGAATAAAACCATTTGTAATGCTGTGACTACAATACAGTGTTGTTTTAACCAAAGTGGTTTTAGGATAGGTAAAGTAAAATTACTTACCTGAATTAGCCGACAGAGGCGATTGAGAGCCGTTGGAGACACCTAACCGTCCAGACGTTCTGAAGTGGAGCGGACAAAAGCGCACGAACAAGAGGGAGATGGCCGCGGGAGGTGGGACGCTTTGCTTAAGGCGATGGTAGGGGCCGGGAATAATGATCACGGCGGTGAGGGCAGTGATACCGCCTGTGGTTGGCAGCCGGCCAGGAACCGCAATCAGAAACCAAAATAGAGGGCTGAGCAGAGAATTAATTCAGCCATAAAGCTGTTTAAATATTATAAAAAACGTGTTTACAATACTAAATAGTAAAGAAAAACACAATACTAGAATATAATGAAATAAAACCACTAGTAAAATGTAGTAAAGTCAACTTAGTTTTGTTAAACAAGGACTATATTTAGAATTAATTATAGTCTCCCATTCTCCACTCCTTCAAGAAATCGTTAAAAACTCACTTCTTCGTAAAAGCGTATCAATTAAACTGTTAATAGCTCCAGACTGATTCCTCTTCTGCAACTGTCACTAGTCTAATACTATCCTGACCATTTTGTGTCATTTTACCCCACTTCCTCTGGCATCTAAGCTCATTGAGCAGGGCCCTCAACTCTGTTTCTGTGTGTCCAACTTGTCTGGTTACAACTACATGTCTGTTCGTCCACCCATTGTAAAGCGCTGCGGAATTTGATGGCGATATATAAATATCATAATAATAATAATAGACTCACCTGGGAGGCTAAGCAGTAAAGAAAGAGGAGCTTGATAACTAGACATACTCTGTTATACATTCTGGTTAAACTTTTTACTTACTGTTAACTGTTTCTTTGCTGCTGGGAGTTTCAGTAAATAAAGATAAGCAAATATGAAGCCTTCTGTCTTGCCATAAAATTGGAAAAGTTATCACAAAACATGTGGGAGGTTTCAAAAGAGTCAGCTTTCAACCTTCCTTTGTCAGTTCAAAGAGGAAATCCTATTTGGAATGAGTCTACGTTTTGATTAACTTAAAGGGACCCTAGAGTCACCAAAACAACTTAAGCGTAATGAAGCAGTTTTGGCATATATATCATGCCCCTGCAGTCTCACAGCCAAATTCTCTGCCATTTAGGAGTTAAATCACTTTGTTTATGCCGCCCTAGCCACACCTCCCTGCACGTGACTGACAGCCTTCCTAAACACTTCCTGTAAACAGTCTTCTAATGTTTACATTTGTTTATTGCAAATTCTGTTTAATTTAGAATTTATTTTTCTTCTGTTCTGTTAACATCTTGCTAGATCCTACAGGAGCCTCCTGTATGTAATTGAAGTTAAATTGACAGAGCAGGCGTTAAAGACATTTAAACTAAGTTGGATCTGATTGAAAGTGAAACCACTTTGTTTTCATGAAGGCTGTGTCAGTCACAGCCAGGGAAGGTGTGGGTAAGGCTGCATAAACAGAAACAAAGTGATTTAACTCCTGAATTGCAGTGAATTGACAAGTGAGACTTTAGAGGCGTGATCTATACACCCAAACTGCCTCATTAAGCTAAATTTGATTTAGTGATTATAGTGTCACTTTAACTCATAGCTTACCATGTTTAATTCCTTTTCTATTGAATGTGTTTATCTGGACATCCCACAAAAATTGCTGAGTGTTTTCACTAATTAGAGATTTAGGACCTCTTTCTTTCCCAAACTTCTGATCCCACTGCAGAATGTCTTGGCACTTTATAAATAAGGTATAATAATGATAATAATTGATTTAGTATATTTGCAGGACAATTTGCATGGGAATTGACAAACATTTGAAATCTGCCTTGCCAATTATCCCCAAAATTTAAATAAAATTTGGTTTATCGTCACAAGAGAACATATTTCCACCCCATTTACCTGAAACTTCTCTGGTCTCCCTGGATACACTCGCAAATAACCATGAACCATATCATGTCCTCCTTGCTCTCTGAGATGGGAGGACAGGTGCTCCTGAATCCTGTATTGCTCTAGAGCTGGAACTCTGAAATAATTACATCTGTCACTTTTTGATATTCGCAAAGTTAAAAAAAAAAACACCGTTTTATGTTAGTTGGTTTTTGCAAAATTAATGTTCCTTATTGTGGGGTATTCTTTAAAAAATGCCTCCTGTAGAAATGGTGGAATGCTTATTTTGGAATAGGCTACCTGAGCAACATTCAAAATATAGCAGCAGGAGGGATTGTGACATTGAGTGTAAATGAGACATAGCCTCTGTCACTGTGGTTGTGAATGCTTGTGATAGTCATTATAAGTAAGAGATATTCTGAGTGACTGTAGTTGTGAATGATTGTGATAGTCATTATAAGTAGGAGATATTCTCAGTAACTGTGGTTGGGAGTGATTGTGATAGTCATTATAAGTAAGAGATATTCTGAGTAACTGTAGTTGTGAATGATTGTGATAGTCATTATAAGTAGGAGATATTCTGAGTAACTGTGGTTGGGAGTGATTGTGATAGTCATTATAAGTAGGAGATATTCTGAGTAACTGTGGTTGGGAGTGATTGTGATAGTCATTATAAGTAAGAGATATTCTGAGTAACTGTAGTTGTGAATGATTGTGATAGTCATTATAAGTAGGAGATATTCTGAGTAACTGTGGTTGGGAGTGATTGTGATAGTCATTATAAGTAGGAGATATTCTGAGTAACTGTGGTTGGGAGTGATTGTGATAGTCATTATAAGTAGGAGATATTCTGAGTAACTGTGGTTGGGAGTGATTGTGACTATAAATTACAGTGGTTGTCTCAGTGTGATATAATCTTACTGTGTTACTGAGTTACTGTGTGAGTGTGTGTGTGCAATGTACACAGTCCCTCCCTTGCCTCTCCCCAGCTGGTGTGTGTGTCATGGCTTGACTTCAGGGTCACTGGGGGCGGGGTCTAACTGTGACCACGCCCCGCATCTTCCTAGACCATGCCTCCACTTGGCGCATGCGCAGCTCAGAGTCTGGACCGCTCCGGAGACACTCTAGGACACCCGCTGGAGCTGTGAATTGACCAGCACACAGGTGAGTGAGTGGGGGTGCAGCGGGGTCACCGGGTCCTCTGTTAGAGTTGTTGGTTGCAGTGTATTATGAGGTGAGAGATACCCTGCATGGGACTGGGGGCAGACATGAGTGAAAGTCAGACAGAATGAGAGTGAATGGGGCGAGACAGCACGGAGAGAGACTGCAGGCAGCCAGGTACCGGCAATGCTGCATGGTGGGCAGACACATGGAGTATACTGATAGCACAGAGCATGGCATGCCCACTCACAGCACTCCCAGTACACACTGACTACATGGAGTATACTGATAGCAAGGAGCATGGCATGCCCACTCACTGTACACACTGACTGCATGGAGTATACTGATAGCACAGAGCATGGCATGCCCACTCACAGCACTCCCAGTACACACTGACTACATGGCGTATACTGATAGCAAGGAGCATGGCATGCCCACTCACTGTACACACTGACTGCATGGAGTATACTGATAGCACAGAGCATGGCATGCCCACTCACAGCACTCCCAGTACACACTGACTACATGGAGTATACTGATAGCACAGAGCATGGCATGCCCACTCCCAGCACACACTGACTACATGGAGTATACTGATAGCAAGAGCATGGCATGCCCACTCACTGTACACACTGACTGCATGGAGTATACTGATAGCACAGAGCATGGCATGCCCACTCACAGCACTCCCAGTACACACTGACTACATGGAGTATACTGATAGCACAGAGCATGGCATGCCCACTCACAGCACACCCAGTACACACTGACTACATGGAGTATACTGATATAAGGAGCATGG